AGGACGCCCTCGCTGTTCTTTTGTGGAGCAAAGAAAATTCAGCTGGTTCACTCAAGTACAAATCTGGGCATTTTGATGGAAGACTCCCTCACATTTAAACCATTATGTGGATAATTTTGTAAAAAAAAGATAAAAAATGAAGATGGATTTTAAATTTCAGAAGAGTTTGTTTTTTCATATGTTGCTAGAAAGCTGTTTTGTCTTTCCTCTGAGGTTCATTAAGACCCCCATTCTAAAGGGGTAGACGCCGTCATCTGGTTCAATTTGCATGTTTTCTAAGCCAAAGCAAGGCTTTATTTTTGGTCCACTTTATAAAACATTGAACTCAACGTTATTTCTGACATTTTGAATTGAAAAAGCTTCCTGGATGGGAAGCTAAACATCTTCAAACGTGGAAACAAAGTCCAGTGGATTGTTTTTTTTTTTACTTTTTGTAATATTCTTTAAAGCAACACGTTAGCGTCCCAGAAGGCTAAAGTTTGTGGAGCTTTATTTACTATAAATTGGAATGATTAAAATCCATTGATAGTAGGATGGATTCATCAATATATATAAATGTTTGCTTACATTCAAAGAGACAAAACATTCGGTTATTTGTGTTAGTTCTTACTTTATATCGTCGGGGACCTCGACCTCTGCATTGGCTGTGATTGGTGCGTTCGAATGTCCGGCCGTAGGGTCGTCCGTGTTCAGCTCTCCGTTGGTCGAGCTCATCACCTGCACGACAAAATCGTGTCTCATTTCTGATCACATTCAGAAAAAAAACAACAACTCTGTCCATCATTAACAGTAAAAAAGGAAATAAAGAGGCATCACAACACAACCTTCATATCTGGCAGCAGGCAAACAGCAGCAACCAAACAAAATCAAAAATAAGGAGGTGAGCAACATGTAGGCCCGTCACGATAACAAATTTTGCTGAACGATTAATTGTCTCAAAAATTATTGCGATAAACGATAATATTGTTTGAAGACCTCTTTACTCTGATTTAATGGAAATGAAGTAATAAAACATGTTATTTCCTGCCAAAGATAAACACAATTTATTTTCATCAGAACACTGCAACTGGTTAACAAAATAAAACGAGAAATAACAATCAAACGAACTCTCAGTCTCTGTTAACTAAAAATACACTTGAATAAAAACTAAAGACAAGATAAAACCACAGTGGAAATAAAAACTATATTCAACCAAAAGAGTACAGATAATGAAGTCTGTTGTGGAATCGCCGTATGTGATATGTATGTTTTCCTGGGGTGTTCATACTGTCTATCAAATGTCTGCAACATTTTTCGAAATGCCGGCTTTTCAACAATATTAAATGGAAGCATCTCTTTAGCAATTCAATGAACTACGCTGTCTGTGAGCGCGCCACTTTGCACCGTCCTTTTTGTATGCTGCCTGTGAATTAATTGCTTCAGTGATGGAGGACTGTCGCGAACTGGAAGATGCAGGCGGGCCACCGCTTGTACTTTTTGTCCCCAGCTGGAGAAACGTTATTGGGTGGTTGTGCTTAAAGGAATAGTACACCCAAAACATGATTAGCCTTCATTTTCTACTCACCCCCATGCTGAACACCACTCTGGAGTACTTTTCTGATATCTCAAATGCATCTGGAGATC